GGCGTGCGACTAGTAGCGATAACGGCCGACTAATCACACAGCGCAAAACCATCCAGTATACACCCCTCAATTTGCGCGCGTCATGCATGCGCAGGGGCCATGCTAATCTTCCCTGTGTCTTCCCAATGTAAACGGGTGGCCTCCGATGCTCAAGCGGTCGCTCAAGCGCGGGGGGCCTGCGGGGGCCTTCTCCCAGACACTCCTGTTCCACGATTGCCCCCATTGCTCTCGCCTTAGATATCGCGACCTTCTTGTCTCTCAGCGCGATGGCTTTAGCGGCGACTGAGCCGAAGGCCGCTTCAGCCAGTTGCCCCACTGCCCCGATCGTCAGAGTACACGACAGGCCGAGGCGCCGTCCGCAGGGGGGCGCAACCCACGTCGGCGCCTTGATAATCCTCAACGGGAAATGGACGGTCTCGACGGCTGTTCGCCGCCACTTCCAGAGGTGCATTCCATTGCATCGCCCAGCGTTTCATATCGCCACGACATCTTGATCGAAAAGCTCGCCAACCTTCCGGGCGCTGAGCTGAAGGCTGAGCCCAGCCCCATCGCGGACTCAGCGCAGGTTTTGGTGCGCGAGGTGAAGGCGCTGCGCGAGACATCGGAGGCGCAGCAAGCGCAAACTTCATCGTTGGAGTCTTATGCGAAGAGCACCGAGCAACACATGATGATGGGGATGAGCGCTTGCAAGAGTCACGTTGACCGAGAAATGTCTCCTTCTTCGGGCGTGACTGTTCCGCCTCGGAAGTCCTTCTGGCTATGGGGCAGATAGCCCGGCGGTCTTCGCCGGGGGCCCCGCCGGCTTCCGCGGCAAAGATGACGCAGACCGCTGGAATACTGACCGGCGTAGGACGTCATGCATTCCGGCACCTCTGGAGACGCGCGCACAGGAAAAGCAGTTTCAAGGCGGGCGCTTTGCGGCGCGCGCAACTCAAGGGGAAGCGCGGGCCGTCATCAGCAAGATGAAGGGCGCAGAGATGAACTGCAAGGGCGCCGAAATTTTCGCAAAGCTCGACCTGCCTTCCGAAACAAAGGCGCTGAAATCTTCCCTGCGCAACGGCCAGCAATCGCCGGCGCGCGCAGGGTGTGATCGGAGAGGTCTTCGGGCTGATATTGCTTTATGGTGCTCTCCTTTTCGGCGCGGAGGTCTTTTTCGCGGCGAGCGTCGAGGCGTCGAAGCTCGTCGCAAAAAACTGATGGATGGCCCGCATACCTGGAGAACAACGACGATTTCAAGGAAAACCGCAACGACCTTGAGGAGAGGTTGAAGTCGCGCGAGGCATCGAGGAAGGGATTGGGACAACGCAAGGGCCAATGCCCAGAATAAGAAGCACCCCATCGAACACAATGTTTCACCCGCGGCTGGAGGCAAGGGCCTTCTGCAAGAATGGACGCGTCCACGCGGGCGCAAGACTGGTCGACGCGTGGGCCGAGCTGGGCGGTTTGTCTTGGGACGTTGCCTGTTATAGTGAAACGGGGGCCACTTCTGCAGATGATCTTCTCCAAGTCGGACATCGATTATTCGCGCGTCGCGGCGAATCCCACGGCGGCGCGGGCATCCTAATTCATGGGCGCTGGGCAGGCGCAGCCACTTCACAACGGAACCTCGGAAACGCTATTGTCGAGCTCCGCCTCGCCACCGTAAAATCAAACTCACTGTGCTTTCCGCCGATCTTCCACATGCTGGGCACAACGCAGCAGCGCGTGACGAAACGCGCCGCCATCTTGGCGAGGCGACGCGATGGGCATCGTTGTCCAGTGCTTGTTTGTAATATATCATCGGCGGGGCTTTTAACGCGCACCTGCATCGGGGGGCGCGCTCTGACGCACTGCTACAACTTGTGGGCCATTACAATTTGCACTTCGCCAACGAAGACGAGGAAGGCAGCAACGGCGACGCATGCGCATTCGAGAGCAGCATCGACATCAAACGACAAGTTGATTGTATCCCTGTTGGTCCTGGGTGGCGGGTTTTGGAAGCAGCTGCAACGAATGATTTTGATCTTGGTTCCGATCGCAGAGCGGTAAGAAGAACTCTCGTCCAAAACAGACGCCGTGAAAGACGCGGCCGGACCCCGGATGGGAAGCCCAAAAAGCAAGCGTTTGAACCAACGCCGCAATTTCGATCGCTGAAGGCTGAGACGCTGGCGCACGAGTGCCTGGGGACCGCGGATGAAACCGAGAAGTTCAACGTGGCAACTGATGCACGTTGCGAGGTTGCTTCCTCTCCGGCCCCAGGTCTCATCAGGAACACGACATTGCTGACCCTTCTCCGGCACGAGCGGAAATCATGCAGGAACATGGAGAGACGTAGCCAGCTCTCTAAGAATTTCCAGAGACAATCTTGAACGTTGACACGTCAATTCGGAACGGCGCGAACGGAAGATCTCTTAGACAGTTTCCGCGGTGACTCGGAGATGGGGCCACTACATCAATGCCTGGTTGAACGACAGGCGCCAGCAAGCAAACCGCCAGGAGCCATGGCAGCCTTCATGGTGGAGTTGTTTCACAATGATGCGGATTGTCCTGAATCCCCAACGCATCTCATTGCCATGATACCCGACATGTGCCCAAGAGAGATGATGCTGTGCGAAAGATGGCCAGAGGAATATGAAAGGGTAAAGCTGGAATTTCGATGGCGATGATTGCAGTCGCAGGGCCAGAGTTGCTGCAGTACTTGACCAGAATCTTCAACAACATTCTTCGAGAAGGTCGAATACTAAGCGAGTGGCACGTCACCCTCTTCACGCTGCTACCGAAAGCGGGGGACTTGACAGATCCAGCGAACTGGCGCCCTATTGCCATCTTGCGTGTGCTGTGCAAGCTCTTTGTGCAAACTCGTTGCGAAAATCGTACACGGCCAGTTGAGACGACGTCTACACGAGCATCAAGCCGACGAAAAAATAGGCTTCATGCCAGACAAGGGCACGGAGGACGCACTGCTCATTTTGGAGACTGCAATTCGCGAGGTCGTTCGAATTCAGCATGCCGCTGTTTTTCGCGAGCTCAGGTTTAAAACATGCGCTCAACATAATCCAATGGCCGCAGCTCTTCAAAGCACTTGAAATACAGGGTGTGCCTCGGCCATATCTCGCGCTCTCGGCAGACATCCACCGCGGACACAAGGGCAAGCTACAGAACCAACGTCTTGACGGCGGGGTGTTCGGGGTGACGTGTTGAGCCCTCTGCTTTCGAATGCTGCGTTAAGGCTTGTCGCAAAAAGATGGAACCCACGGCATTAAGATCGAGCCTGGTGTTTCTGGTCGCCGCTTGACTCACGTCAGATTCGCTAATGACCTCATCATATACGCCACGAGCCTGAACGAATTGACGTTGATGTTAAACCTTCTCGCCGAAGAACTACAACATAGCAGCTTAGAGTTGAATGCCAATAAAAGATAGAAATGCCGTTCAAAGTGGTAGCCCATGGTTTGTGGATGCAGCAGGCGGTCTCATTGAGATCGCGAGAGAATGGGAATTCCACGTGTATCTCGGCAACAAATATTCGGGCGACCTGATGAACAAGGGGAAATCAAGTTTGGCAAACCGGCAGCACTGCGCATGGGCGAAATACCACAAGTTCTGCTCTGCTCTGACCGATCGGCACGTGGATATGGTTCTCAGATTTCGCCTTGTTGGCAATATCGCCACGCCTACTGTGCTATACGGCCTCGCGACAGCTCCCTTGACTTCTGCGACATCGAGAAGCTCGCTTGAACGCAGAGGCACATGATGAGACACATGGCTGGATTTGTTAAGCATGACGATGATGAATGGTCTGGCGTTTACAGGCGCGTGAGAGACAAGATCGAGCAGACCATGAAATGCCGACCCATCATATTATGAGCAGATGAGTTGCGCAAGATGCAACACAATTTACACCTCAAGATGCAGAGCCCTGGCCGGAATGAGCTGGTGCAGATGATTGCCAAGTGGAGCCCAGGCGACGTGGCTGATTCGAAGCACCCTGCAAGGCCGAAGCGTTCCAGAGGCAGGCCATGCAAAACTTGGGACCGCTTCTAATTCACATGTTTCCATACAGAGTCCAGTATTGGACCGGGCCTAGTGCTCGATCGGGGATTGTGCGTTGCTAAACCATCCTGGGCGACAGCCCGGGCGAAAACAGCCGCAGCCTCAGTGAGACACCCGACAATATATTTTCGGGGCCCCTCGACACGAACATTAACATCATCGACCGAGGTTTTGGCGAGACGCCCTCGGGGGAAAAAGGAGCGATGGACAGACTCGAGGATGGGGTAAAGAAACGCGGCGGCCCCGTTCTTGGCGTTTCGGAAACCAGCCGTGACTCCCAAGGTGGGGCTGATAGGGTCACTGACCGCAGACCTGTATGGGAGGATTCTGGACCCTAAGTAAAGCTGGCCGGACAAGACAAGAACGGTGGGTGAGTAGCCCAGGCCGAGACTGCGTTCCAACAACAAAGCAATGCAAAGGGAGTCGTAACATTCTTTCACATCAAACACAAGGCTGCCGTGCGCGACCCCTATGGCATCTGCCGCCTCGTCCATGAAATGACGAGCGACTGCTGCTCTGAGAGCGCCGCTCCCCCTGACGGCCTCGTCCAGCCAATCCCTAGAAACGTCGTTGCTTAGCAGCCTCCATAGGCGGGAGAGCCCGTTGGCCTCCTGGCTCCTTCGGGATCAGACCTTTCATGGCGGGCAGCAGCTGCCACGGCCATGCCGAGTCACTCTCGATACGCTTGAAACTATCTAAAAGCTCAGACGGGCCCTGGGACCACAGCTCTTGGATGTCCCTGGGCTCGAGGTTCTCGATCTGCCGACCCGTCTGGACAGGTATCTGACGGAGGCCCGCCTGGAGCCTATCGAGGGTTAAAGGAAGAGGAGGAGGAGGAGGAGGCGGAGGAGGAGGAGGTCGAGGAGAAGGAGGGAGGATGAGGAGGGAGGAGGGAGGGGGGAGGGGCAGGAGAGAGGGGAGGCGGGGGGGGGGGGGGCGACAGAGATGAAGGGGCACTGTGCCCAGGCCTTCTCGGAGCGGTCAGAGGTGGCCATGAAGAGGGCGGTCGCGTAGCGCCCCTCCAGGGTACCGTCCTGCAGGCGGCCGGATCTTTGCTGCAGCGCTGCGGTAGGGGAGTCCTTCTGCCCATCTTGCCCCCCGTCTACCTTCCTTCGGGTAACAATGGCGAGCGGTTCAGCAATTTGCAGCATGGCTCTTGGCAGTTCCAACTCAGCAGCTTGCGATCAATACTTTCAAGACTGACACAGCAGAAAGGTTCGTATCACAATTGCCCCTGATGGCGAAGTGCAGAAAACCGAGCCCAACACATCTGTATGTTCTGACAAGTTCAGCTCGTGTGAAACGAATTCTGAACGCGCGCGCGCGGGCCACCACCCCGTGGGGACAGATCGTGGCTAAAGCCGCCCCGAGCGGCGCAATCTCGAGTCGCGCACGCCGTCCTCCCAAATAGGATTTGACCTTACCTCCCAACGATGCCTTGTCAGCCTTTCGGAGCCGTGGGGCACGCGCAAGCGGCGCGTCCTAGCTCCCAAAGCCACTGTCTTGGGTTTATCCGGACGCTCCGCCTGGGGGACTGACGTCCTGGGAGCCCAGCGGGCGGTGGACCTGGACGCAAGTTGGCCCCAGGGGAGCTCAGTGTCGATATCCACCGCCTGCCGAGGTCCTCGAATCTTGCTTACCAAGGCGGCTGTTATGGAGGCCGCCCCGCTGGGCGCCAACCCCTCCCCCCACCCTTGCCGCGATCCGTCGTCGGGGACCCCCCCCTTTCCCGGTCCGTCGTCGGGGGGGTCGAAAATCACACCCCCCCTGTTATGGAGAATCCCCCGCCGCAGAACAACGGAACAACGCCAGGGGCGGTCGGTTGGGCGGACCGTGGAGCCGCCCCGGGGCGCCTCGCCCCACGGGGTCACGCGGGCCTCCTGCGAGGGCCGCCGAGAGCCGCCGCAAGCGAGGGGACAACAAAGCTGCCTGTGCCGCTGCTCCTCTGCTCCTCCTCCTCCTCCTCCTCCTCCTCCTCCTCCTCCTCCTCCTCCTCCTCCTCCTCCTCCTCCTCCTCCTCCTCCTCCTCCCCCCCCCCTGGGGCCGACCCTCCCCTGGCTGCGGCCGCCGCGCGGCGGGCGGGCAAGGCGCGGACCAGATGCGGGCAAGATTCGTATCCAAATCCAGTACGTCTTGGACTGCATTGGAAGAGGCGCCGCAAGGCCGTGGCGGAGATGGACAGAAGTTGATCAGCCCCTACAGACCAGACTTTTGTCCATATCCATTGCGCCTCGGGCTTTTGGGAAAAAGAGCCGGAAATTCCAATCTAAAGTGGACATGGACACAAGCCTTGCCCGCACCAGAATCTCGAAGCGAGTCCAGCCGTGGCGACGAGGGCATCCCCGGAGGTCGTTCCCCTGAATACGAGCCAAAGGGTGGCGGCATCGGCGTCTCGTCTTCTTCTGAGCATCGACGCCTGCTGCTCGCTCCTCGTGTCGTGAGCCGGGCCTCGGGCCGCCGTCACAGAGAAGATGGGCCCCCCCCCCGGGAAAAAGCTCTCGACAAGGCGCCGCTGCTGGAAAGCACCCCGAGGCCGGGAACCGACGAGCAGCGACAGAGGCTCCCGAGAGCGCCCAGAAACCTCGAGCCCAGTCCGACATCCGAGGGCCACGCGCATCTGGTCCGGTCTCGGTACAGCCGGCGCGTGGCAGAAGGATGCGCGGTGAGGGTGCAAGAGCCTTGGAAGGCCCTGTTGACGTGTTGCCGCGCGGGGGCTGGCCGGCGAAAGGTGCCAAGGACGAGCCGAGGGGGCAAGGATGCGAGGGCGGCCCTGGAGAGCTGCTCCTCCCTGCTGTGCACCCGGGGTCCTGGCTGTACCCGATCCCTCGAGGCCCGCCCGCAGGGCGCCCTGGCCAGCGCGGCCACCCCGCGCGGGGGCCCGTTGGGCCTCCTCCGAGGGCCCCCTGCGACGTGGGCCGCCCCGGTGGGCCTCCTTCGAAGGGCGTGCGGGCCCCGGCCGGGCGAGGGCCTCCTCGGGTCGGGTTGACCTCAGAGGGGGGGTCCAGCGACAAGGGGGCGGCGCAGCAGACCTGCTGCAATAGCCATAGCTTTGTGGGGCTGCAGTACATTTGAGGCGTGTAGAGCATTTCGGGGCGCGGATGTACTGCTGCGCTTCCGCATGCAGTGCATCAATTGCAATACAATGCAACACACTTCTCCGGCGCAATACATTTGCAATACGATTGCCCCAAATCTACTGCACCACTCCCTTTCAGCTGGACCTCCTTTTCGGTCACCCCGATTAGATAGACAAGCGCGTTCCACTCCTCGCCAAGCAGCAACTCGCAATTGGACTGGATCCGCCGCGGGGGACTCATGATCCATTACACAGAGGCCGACGTATGGTTTTAAGGACGTTTTGCGAGTGGGCACTTTGCAAGTAGTGGAACGCGCTCGGCGATCAGAGGGCCGCGACGATAGGGGCGAATAGCCCAGGGGCGGGCATTACACGTATTCGCCTGGGAGCCTTTCAAAGACACAGATCATCGGCGCACCTGAATACGTGTACTGCTCTCCCCCGGGCTTTTCGCCCCTGTCGTCGCCTCTGAGAGGGCCGCCCGCAGAGGCGCCCTCGCCGGCGCGGCCGCCGCGCGCGGGCGCCTCTCCGGCCTGTGTGCAGACGCCTCCGGGGGCAGACGCCCGCCGCGGGGGCGCGGGCCTCCGAGGGGCCGCCGCAGGGCGGAGGCCTCTCCGAGGGCGGCGCCGCCCCGGGCCTGGAGACGCCCGGGGGTGCTCTGGAGCCCCGCGGGTCTGGGTCGGGCATGTCCTCCTACAGGCGGAGTCTGCTCCGGAAGACGAATGAAAGATAATCCAACAGAATCAGCAGCCTTGATTGGTTGAACTGAAAAGTCACGAAACATCGTCCCCGAACAATTTTTTACCTCTCTTGAAAATTCTCCCTGGAGAGGGACATGCCCGACTTAGCTCGAAACCTGAAATCATGGGGGCCCTTGCGGGGCCTCGGGGCCGTGAACAGAACGGCTCGGGAGGAACAGCTGGTCCCCGGGAACGGGTCGAGACCTCTGGGGGTCGTCGTGGAAAAGACACGGCATCGGGGGTCTGGGGCGCGGGCAAGAGTTTTGTCCATATCAACTGCGTCTTAGAGTGGCGGGTCCTCCTCCCCAGAAACCCAAGGCGCAGTGGATATGTATCAAACTCTAGCCCCTATAGAGGCTAGATTCTTCTCCATATCCACCGCGCCTTGTCCCTTTGGCGCCCCACCCCCAGAAAGTCCAAGACGCAGCGTCTATGGATATGAATATGTCCCGCGTCCGAAGGCGGCGCCGCACCCCAAGGCCCTCTGGGCCTCGCGATGGGGGAGCTCTGGAGGCCCTGGTGACCTCTACAGATTCGGGCGCCCCATCCATCTGGTGCGGCAAGAACGGGTACGATGCCCAACAACAGATGCTGTCCAAAACCGACTGCGGCCGCTGATGGGCAGGCGCACCCTTTGACTCACGTGGACTAAGTTCGCGGCGACATCGACAACGAGCCCTGCTCATAACGGGCTAGAACTGCGTATCCCGGGCGGGTGGTGATGAGGGGTGACCTCAATGCGGGGTGAAGAAAGAGCCCTAAGGGGGCCTAGTCCGACCCCTTTTGGAACCAGCAGGTCCCATCTAAAAGAACACGAAGAGGCCCATGACCCTTCTTCACCCCCCATGTAGGCCACCCCCCACAACCCACTACCGCCCGCCCGAAAACGTCGGTCTCCGCACCCCTTCGTTCCGCTACCCGTGTCGGCCGTCCCGACCCGCAGGCCCGCGGGGGCCCGCAAGGGGGGGGGCGCCCCGACTGGAGGAGCCCAAGAACCCGCACTTTTTGGCGGGGTCGGCGGCCAGGCAGAGTGACTGCGCTGGCGATGAAGTGTTGGGAAACGAACTAATGCGAATTGGGCCACCATGCAGACAGGGGCTGCAACAACACACAGACTTTCGGAGCTCCGCGCGGACTTCTTGGATCGGCGCTGGGCCCCCTGGCGCGAACCCCGCGCTCGGGAGGCGGGGTCAGCACAGGTCCCGAACAAATGCATCGTATTTTATAGTTTGCGATGGCCCAAATTATCTGGGGGGGGGGTCGGCCGACAACCTAACTGGCCTTTTTCGCTCCTGGCAACCTCACGTATGCCCGCGCGCACCAATATACTGCGAACCCCCTCTCGGCCTGGGCAACCGACAAGGTCAGGCTTTCCTGTGGGAGGGCGGGGCGGGCGGAATCGATAATCTGTGTTATCGCTGGACCCCAAGCGATGAATTTAAATGTGTAGACATATACACATATATACACATATCAACTGTTCCCTGGCCAGGCCTATCCTGAACACAGCTGCGGTGTATACGCCACGCCCTCCTGGCGCGGCCAGGAGGGCGTATACACAGCTCCCGGGATCAGGATGGGCCTGGCCATGGTGCGGTGAATCTGCACAGACTTCGTCACCCGAAAAGAGACATGGAGAGCAGAAACTCCCCACCCCGCAATCAGCACCCCGACGAGCGACCCAGCTTGGTACGGCAGGTTCGTGTCGTATCGACTCTGGCGCTGGTTCCTGACCCCGCGGGGATCGGTCAAACTTGAACGATCGGCCGTTTCCGAAACATCCGGTCCTTCAACATCGGCCGATTCTGGGTCGCCAGCGGCGTTCAACGTTGAACGCCGTCGGCGGGGTCGCCGCCAGTCGACACAGCGTGAACCTGCCGTAAACGCGACCAGGGAAGGAATCGAACAAAGCAGGGCTGAATGAAGGGCGAAAGACGGTAAACAATAAACTGTTTCACTGTCGGGGGCGCCTGTCCCAGGGCGGCCGGAAAGTCCCACCAGCCCTCTGGGCGTAGGTGGTCTAACGATGTTTTTCTTTCCACTTCAAAAAAACCCGCTTCCCCATTCTGGGAGGGGATTGATCACTGTTCCCTATTAGTATACGCCCCCCCCCCCAGGCAACTGGGAGCCAACCCGAGTCAATGAGGGCCCCCCCCCCCCACCATCCTTTAAAACAATTCAATGCAAACACACACTTTGCCACCAAATTCGGAGCCTGCGCCGCGAACCCAGTGCGGCCTCCTCCCACCATCCCTGCCAAAAACCAATGCAGAGTACATTTGGCGGCGGCGGCGGCTGTGGCGGCTGCGGCGAGGGCATCGGCTGCGGCGGTGGTGGCGGCTGCGGCGGCGGTGACGGCGGCGGCGGCGGGGGCGGGGGCGGGGGCTGCGGCGGCGGCACTGGTGTCGGCAACGGCTGCGGCGGCAGCGGCTGCGGCGGCGGCAGCTGCGGCGGCGGCGATTGGGCAGCGGGGGCGGCGGCGTCGGCGGCGGACGGCGGACGCGGGCGGCGGCGGCGGCGGCGGATTCGCCCCCAGTAACTGCCCATCCAAAGACGACTGCTGCATATGCCGCGGCTCGGGCCAAGCTCTCGTGCTGCGTATATGTTGGGGGGGCGGGTGGGAGTGAGCGAGACGGCCTGCGGGCGGGGAGGGAATCTCGACCCCTCCCCCTACCCCCTCCCCTGGACGTTTTTTTGAATGGGGGTCGCGGGTCGTTGGAGGGCCCTTTTTTTCGGCCGCTGGGAGGGCCAACTGTTGACTCCCATCACGAGGATCGTGGCCCCCGAGAAGGGGGACCTCCATCGGGAGCTTCCCTCCTTTGATCGATAGCCTCGAAGTTGGCCCAAAGAGGCGCTCCAGGGCTCCCAAGAGCCCCAAGAGAGCCCCAAAAAGGCCCCAAGAAGATCCCAAGAGGGCCCCAAGAGGCACCCGAGCGGTCTCAGAGAGCCCATGATGACCTCCGAGATGGCTCATACAGCCCAAGCTGGCTCAAGATGGTTCCCAAGATGCTCCAACCGGGCTCCTGACGGGGGAAGCTGAATTGGGTACCCCCCATATTGTAATCGATGGCCTCCAAGATGATCCCAAGAGGGTTCCAAGAGGGCCCTCCAAACTCCCAGAGAACACCAGCAGCAGCAACCGCAATAATACCTCTAGATGGTTCCACGGGTCCCCGTCCGCGTCGTCCTCATCCTAGTCCTCGTCCTCTTCGTCATCGTCCTCATCCGCATATTCGCCCTCCTCGTCCTCGTCATCCTCCTCCTCTTCCTCCTCCTCCTCCTCCTCCTCTTCCCCTCGCCCCCACGCGGTTCCCAGGGATGGCCCGGAGAGGGCTTCCAAAACCACCCCGCTGCTGCCAGAGATCTCTCGGGAGCAGGGCTTCTGAATCGGCTGGTGGGGATCCTTTTTGCTCGCGAGCGACGCGGTCAGCCGCGCGCCGCCAGATAAAGTCGAAAGAAAGCGGCTGGTGGGGATATGTTTTGGGCCTGCGGGCTCGCGAAGCAAGTCGAAAGCCGTCCGATCACTAGCCGGGCCGCGACTAGGCAGCAAGAAAGAGAGGGGCGAGCGAAACGAGCGCGCGGGCAGCCAAAATGGCGCGGCGGCGCGACCAAGAACACGCAGAGGTCGATCACCCATTGTGAATCGGCATAGGGCCCGACGAATACGAGCAGGTCCGACAAGCACACCAGGGCGACATCCGTGCCGTAGGTGACACAACAGCATCGTGTCGGCGCCGGAGTGAAGAGGGGGCAGCCTCGTCACAGACAGGACTGCCAGCGGCAGGTCCTCTGGTATGTACACCGGGTGGCACAGGTCGAAAGCGAACTCCATGAAGGAGAAAGCAGCCGACGGGCGCCCAGAGCCGCACATGCCGAAATCCTTGCACCGAAGAGGACGGCACCGTAGCAAGACCCCACGGAACCCAAACGGTCACCAGCGGAGACTGACACCAAGCAGGGCTTGTGGGGATACGCAAAGCGTGAAGAATGTATATCCTTACGGTGGCAACGTAGGGCTATAAACTTTCCAACCGCCCAGGGGCAGGCGTCCCCGACGGCGGGAAAGTTTATTTCATACCGCTCCTCGCCCGCTGATGGATAGTTTTGCCCATGGCCGTTGGGTGGAGTCTCCTCCCTTGAAAATTAGGCTCAAACCCTGAGCCTCTGGGCTCCCACCGATGATGCAGGAGAATGGCTTCTCCGCGGCACGCCAGGCTCCAGGCGTGGGCCAGAATGGCTACGGAGAGGGTAGAAGAGGGTGAGGGAGAGGAGGAGGAGGAGGAGGAGGAGGAGGAGGAGGAGGAGGAGGAGGAGGAGGAGGAGGAGGAGGAGGAGGAGGAGGACGACGAGTAGGGAGGAGGAGGGAGGAGGAGGAAGGAGGAGGAGGAGGAGGAGGAGGGAAAACCTCGAGCCTCCTCCGACGTCCGAGGGCCACGCGCTCCTCCACCTTGGGCTTCTGCCCGGCCTTCGCGGCCAGCGCGCGGCAAGCCACGGCCGCCGGCGCATGAGGGGCGGCGGGGCGGCTGGCGGTCAGGGCCACGCGCGGCAGGGCCTGCGCGGCGCCCCGCCGCAAGGGGGGCTCGGCGGGAAGAGGGGGCGGGAGGCGGGCCCAAAGACGATACACCACCACCACCTCCATTGCCCCTCCCCTCCTCCACCATCCTCGTCCCTCCCTCCCTCCTTCTTCCACCCTCCCTCCACCCTCCTCGTCCAGCCTCCTCCTCGTCCCCTCCCTCCCTCCTCGATCCTCCTCCTCCCCGCCTCCTTCCTGGGTGATGCAGGGGGCGAGGGAGGCGGTGGTCATGGTGTATAGATTGGGTTCCGCGAGGGGGGGAGGAGGAAACGAGAGGAGGAGGAGGGGGAGGGGGAGGACGCGGACGAGGAGGCGTGAGGGTTTGAGGTAGTATGGCTTTGGGGCACATTGGCCATGTTGCTAGGCCCAGCTTCCTGGATACACCACCCAGAAGACCACCGTGCCCCGATGGTGCGAATGTGAGAACCGGGGAGGACGCGGGAGGAGGAGGCAAGACGGGGAGGAGGCGGGACGAGGAGGAGGCGGGGGGAACGACGAGGAGGAGAAAAAACGACGAGAAGCAAGAGGCGGTGGGAAGGGATGGGGGAAGGGGGGCAGACTCGGAAACTACGGGCGGCGAGCAGCTACGCAGTCGACCATATGGGCCCATCGCTGCCGTCTCGGGGCGCCTGTAGCCCGCTCTGGCCGTCGTGAACGCACCATTCATATGGGTGCCTTCTGTTGGGCCCGCGTGGGCCTGGCCGAAGTTAGCCATCGGCCTTGGGTGGCCTTCGGCGGTGTTGTGACGGACTTCGGCGATATTCCACGATCTTCCGACGGTCTTCGGTGGGCGTTGGCAGTTTGTTGCCGGTCTTCGGAGCCCTGTGACAAGCAGGGGGGGCGGGAAAGCGCACCAAAAATTGAGTATGCAACTCCAAAAAGATCGTGGTACGAACGATTAACGGCCTACAAAGCCGACAGGGCGGGGACCATGAAGCCAGACTATGCCGATGCGGCCCCAAATTAATCCCGAATCCAACTTGAGGCGAAGTAAGTAGGCCGGGTCAAGGCGGATTTCGACCACGGATATGCCAGCGTTGATGTTAAACTTAACATCCCAGGAGTTGCATGTTAAATTAAGCAGTGATGGCGGGACTGAGCACCGAACAGGCGGCACATATGTTAGCGGTCACGGCGAAACAGACATCGAGTCCCGCCCAAGCGGCGGACAGGACCTGTTGCCGATGCTTGTCGCGATTCTTTCCACGCGCAGTTCGATCGTATTTACGAGCCGAGGGGGGCTTCGGGGGGGTTGTCTATAAACACCGCCTAGGGGGGTCGTCGATATTCAAATACCTCGGCGGGCGGTGGACCCACATCGGGGCATCAAGTGCAATTTGAAGATATATACATAAATCTATAATGTGTTTAGATGTAAGAACACACACACACACATATACATATATATATATATATATATATATATATGTGGGCTCATGTATGTGTGGGATTGACGCACTTCCCATTTACAACTACAACGTCCACTTCGCTATCAAGACATACGCCAGGACGATAAAGCAACGGGAAGGTTGCCGGGGCAACCAGCATGTATACATATGCCTGGGCATGGCGGCAGTCTGCGACAGCAGCTAGATGAGCTGGTTTCATGGCCGCCGCACTGCGACCGGACAACTCCGAGGGGCGGTGCGGCAGCCCGACGTCGCTCGGCGCTCACCCTCGGCAAGGGGAACCCCATCGCGACACGCGCGAAGGAGGGGTCAGCACGGCAGACGCACGGCGCTCAAACACACCGCCGAGACGTCTCTGGCGAGCAAAGTATGATCATGGAGGCGAGCCAAGGGTGGTAGTGGGAGGGGCAACGGCGACTGCCGTGCATTGTTTGCGGCCATGTCTCGTCTTTTATGCCCCGCCCATTCATCCGCCGCAAGCGTTTGTATGACTGGGCATGGCGGCAATCTGAGACAGCAGCTACATGAGCTGCTTTCATGGCCGTCGCATTGCGACCGGGCGAATCAGAAGGAGGCGCGCGGCAATTCGACGTCGTTCGGCGCTCACCCTTGGCAAGAGGAGCCCCACCGGCACAGGCGCGAGGGGGGGCAGCGCGGCAGACGCACGGCGCTCAAACACACCGCTGAGACGTCTCCCCGCCCAGCCCCTATCTGGCTCTAGCACAACTTAGCTCGTGCTAGCTCTACGAATGTTTGGGCCCCGTGCTGGAGTAAATCCGACGGAGATGGGGAAACATGCAACGATGCAAATACAGCGGTACCATCTTCGATATACATACGTATATGTATAATCATAAATATGGAATGTAAATGTGTATATATATATATATATGCATGTGTAGAAGTTGCCCCGGCTAAGCCCCGCATTCCACGCAGCGTCGCGCGAGACAAGTCTGCAACATGAACTCGTGCGCGGCGCCTCCGCGCCTGACGCTATAGAACGCGAGGCGGAGGCGAACTCGGCCGATGGCGGCCGTGCCTTCTCTGAAGGCTGCGCGGAACGCTTTTGTGCTCTTGGCCCGGGTTGCTGCCCTCAAGGAGGGGCAACTGCCGCCGCATCCAGGCGCCGACGCATGGGCCATGGTAGTCACATGTTAGCGGGGGCCTTTTTGCGCAGCTGTCTTGGCCTAAGGAAAGGGGGCCGCGCCGCGGCCGTCGCCGCCGACGTGCGCGAGAGCACGCGCCAAGCCAAGAATCTCGCCAGTCCGCAGGCACAAGTGGAAGCCCGCCAGCGCGCGCGATGCGAAGGCGACCACGCCGCGCGCCGGACTCCAGCCTGCCAGGGCAGCCGCCGCACGGCTAGGCATGGGCGGCACGAGCGAAGGCACCTCGAGGCGGCTCCGAACTGAGAGCAGCATGCATGCGCTGGGCACGCGAAGCAAGTGCTGAACGCCACAGAGCGCATCGTTCGCACGACCTTTCGCGGCGCCTGCGCACCGCGGGCGCTCGAGACAGCCTTGGAGGCGCAGGCCCCTGTCCTTCCAACTGTCCTTCCAAGATGAATGGTAGGGAGAAAGTCAACAGACTGCCGGCCTGCGCGCTTGCACCTGGCGCGCGCCCTCGAATCAACGCGCGCGTCGGCCAGCCGCCTCGGCGCAGCCCGGGCGGCTGGCTGGCGCGGTTCGCCTCGCCATCGCCCAGGCGCGAGGGCGCATCTGCCGGGTTCATTCATGGGGGCGCGAAACCAAAATCACCCCGGGCGTCCGTCGCCAACTCCAGGACTGAGAAAGCCCGCGCTACCTTGTTGAGCTGATTGCTGCTGGACCTACGCCTGCTCAAGGCACCGACGTTGACCATGCTATCCAAGAGATGGAGGGAGACTCGCCTCTGCCTGCCAGAAGCTCATGCGCACCAGCGCAGCGACATCATATTGCCGCCTCGCACTCGAGCAAGTTGATGCGGGTCTCAGTCCTGCCGCGCCAGCTGCCTCGCCGCCCCGCAACCAGATGCCGGCGTCACCCTCCTGCCCGGGGAATATCTTCTCGAGTCTCAGAATTCGTGCCCACTCGGAGATCAGCTCCATTGCGATGGCAGGCCGCCACGAGCCTGGCGACCACGCGCTGCTGTTCTGCGATGGGGCGCCAACTCCCAGCCCCCAGTCCCCCGCTCGGCCAGCGCGGCCAGCAGCGCGTCGGTGCGGGGCGGATCCGTCGGCCCGCGGCGGCGCGGCAGTCGGGCTCCGCGCAGCTCCTCCAGCGCCTCGATGAGCGCCGGCTGCCTGGCCAGCCATCCAGCGCACAGGGCGGCGCCGTCTGCGGCGGGCCGACCTGCCACCGCAGGGCACTGGTTCCCTCGCATCGACGGGCCCGGCTCCCAGAGGCGCGACCCTCGCCAACGTGGACAAGCTTCTCCTCGCCTTCCTGCGGGGCGCTTTCCGCCGCGAGGGGGCAGTCGCTCCTGCTTGGCGGCTCGCCACCAGGAAGCCTAGGCCGCCCGCGGTCGCTCGGCCGTCTCGGCCACCGACGCCTCGCGGCCGCTGCGCAGCGCAGCGACGTCGCCAACCCGGAGCCGCTCCCTGCCAGCCCAGCCGCGCGAGCTTACGTGCAGCGCGGCGAGCGGCGGCACCGCGACCAGCAGCTCCACCTGCGCTGCCCAGAGGGCCAGCAGGCATGTCGCGACCTCGCGCTGGAACGAGTTCCCGAGGAGCGACCGCCGCAACGCCTCGAACATCTCGGGCGCGCCATCGGCCCGGGCGCTGGCTGCGCCCGGGTCGCCGCGGGGGGCTGCTTCTAGGGGCGCGCCCGCGGGGTTCCAGAGCCACAGCGCCCGGCGCTGAGGTTCATTCTTCGGCCGCGCTTGGGCCTGGGCGCGCGCGGTTGCGCGCGTGGCTGCATTTCACTTCGCGAAGCCGTCTTGGAGCCTTCACGGGGCTCCCCCGAGGCCGCCCTGAAGCCCCAATGAGGTTCGAATGCCAATCGCCGCCCGCGCACTTTCGCCGATCCACGCCTCCACCTCCGCCCGCGCACCTCCGTCCGCAACGTCTCGCTTGCCGCTCCTTCTCCTCCTCATCCCCCCCCCCGCCACGCCTCCATCTCGACCTCCGCCCCTCGACCTTCGCTTCCTTTTCTCCCTTGCCCAACCCGTAATCTGCCTCCGCATCCGCCTCCATGTCCCCCATGCCACATGTCCGTCATTGTCCAACCCCCCCTCTTCGTCGCCCCCCCCCTGCCCGTCATTTTCGCGCCGGTCTAAAAGCCATTTGGCCCAGGGCGGGGCGCGCGTGGACCCCCCGGCCCCCTCGGGCGCCCCCGGGCGCCCAGGCCAACCTTGGAGCGCTCGCGACTGCGCCGCGTGCCGCGCGCAAGCCCCCCCCCATCCCCCCCCCCTTCCTCTACTCCCAGGCCCTCCTCATCGCGCGCCTCGTCGCCCTCGCCCCCGCCCCCCCGCGCCCCCCCCCGCCCCCTCGCTCAGTCGCCTGCGCGCCTCGGGCCACATCGCGAACGAGAACTCCCGCCGCTGCCCCCCCCCCCAATGCGTTCTCCTTGGCCTCCCCGCTGCGCCCCTCACCCC